CCATGAAATAACAGCAAATTCCTTGTCAGGCTGTGCAGAGGGAACAGGCAGAGAGGTGCTGCTTTTCAGGGATGTCTTCTTTATCTCTGTGGCAGCTCCAGCAGAGGGGTTTTTTTTGGTGGGGGTTTTCTTTTAGTGATTTAACATTTTGTTCTGCCTTTTGGCTTTTTTTTTTTGCTCTACTGTCTAAGAATTTTTTTCTGCAGAAATCTCCAAATAGCAGGAGGCTGTGGTGATAGCAGTGAAGAAGAGCACCAGCTCACACAGTCATTAAAAATGTATCAGCAGTTTCAGAAGCAACTTGCTCCCTCTCGGAGGCAAATCGTCCATAATTCTGCTTGGTATTTAGAGACTTTTTATCTCCAGAGAGAACACAAAACTCCCCAGTATAGCCCTGATTTATTTTATTCTCTTGACTTTTCCAGAGCTGAAAGATGAAAAAAAAAAAATAAAATAAAAGGGGGCTTAGCAGGAAAATAATTCTGTATTTGTGCTGCACGCAGGGGTCAGCTCGTGATCCAGCAGCAGCTTCTCAGCACCTCCCACCCTGAAGGACCCAGGGAACTCTTTCCCATCCATCCCACTCTTTTATTTTTTTGGGAGCAGATTGGGAATGCTGCCCAGACAGCTGTCCATCAACCCAGCCTGCTGTCAGAGCAGCAGAGAGGAGCCACTCGAGCTGTGAATGCACAGCTCCTGACATGTTCTCGCTGGAAACTTCAGCAGGGGGAAGTTGGTTGGATTTATTTTCAGCCAGCTGAGGATGAGTCTGGGATAAGTCATCTTCACACGCAGGAGAATTAGTGAGGCAAGCTGCTAAAGAGCTTTGTCTCTCCGGGGTTTTCTTGGCTTTGTGAGGTTTCAATGAAGGGAAGTTGTGCTCCTCTCCTCTCTGAGTGGGGTTTGGGGCTGCACAGGAGTGGATGCCCCAGCTGTGGCCACAATTCACTGGTGGAGTTGTGGAATTCCACCTGGGGGAACTCCTGTTCCACAGCATCTCCTGGGGAAATGAGGGACAGGCAGATGCCCCTGGCAGCTGGAAGGCAGCCTGGCAGGATGACAAGCTCAGCAGGGCAAAATCAATGTACAGTGAGGGCGTTTGGACTGTGCTCACCACCCTTTAATGCCTGAATTCAGGGAGGGGGCAGCAGGTGGGAACTGGGAGGTGCAGAGGGACTGAAACACCTCTTTGTTCATTTCAGAGTAACTTTGATGCTGTTTTGTGACTGTGTTCACAAGATAGGGATCTGAGGATGAGGGAAGAGACAAGGATCTGGCTCCATGTTTCAGAAGGCTTGATTTACTAGTTTATGATAGATATTATATTAAAACTATACTAAAAGAATAGAAGAAAGGATTTCCTCAGAAGGCTGGCTAAGAATAGAAAAAGAAGGAATGATAAAAGTTTGTGGCTCGGACTCTCTGTCTGAGCCAGCTGACTGTGATTGGCCATTAATTAGAAACAACCACACGAGACCAATCACAGAGGCACCTGTTGCATTCCACAGCAGCAGATAACCATTGTTTGCATTTTGTTCCTGAGGCTTCTCAGCTTCTCAGGAGCAGAAATCCTAAGGAAAGGATTTTTCATAAAAGATGTCTGTGACACTGGGCTAGGAGGAAAATCCTCTCTCTCCTTCCCTCCTGATCCTAAACTGGGATCCCAGCATTGTGCTGGTGGAGATGCATCCCTGTGCTCCCCTCCCAGGTATTTTGCCATCACCTCCAGCCCCCAGCTGGGCACACCTTGTAGGATCCAGTTTTCTGTTGTTTAGCAACCCCTAAGGCGCATTTCTATTGCTGACAGCTGGCTCCAAACGCCAGCCCTCCTGAGGGGTGAGGTGGAGCAGCCTCCCCCTGTGCTCCATGTCCCACGTAATTACAGCCCTGCACTCCCAGAGCAGAGCTCAGCAGGTGCTCTGGATTTGCTGCTCAGCCTGGCTGATAACTCCGAGCTGCTGATGCCTGGGAATCTCCTCCTCAGCCCCTCCAGCAGGCTGCAAACAGGAGGAGCAGCCTTGGGTCTGTCCCTTGGAGCAGGGAGGCACAGGAGCTTTTCCTTTTTCCCCACAAGAGTGGTTTCTCCTTTTTATTTTGTCTTTGCAGAGTCTGAAATGAGAACCCCTTTTTTTTAACCTGGTGGTTCACAGGGTTATTTGTTGAGGGACACAGTATGGGTGATGTAGAATGTAATTTTATTGCCCAACAAGTTGCAGCTGGACTCTATTACTAAAGATTAGGAGCAGGCCTAATGTTAACAGGCCACACCTGTAGCCAATAAGAACCAGTGGTACAAAAGAGAGGAGTCAGAGGAGTCAGATGGCTGCTGCAAGGACTGGGAGCAGTTACTGCTTGGAGGAGCTGCCTGTGAGAAAACTTTGAGGCGGTATGAAACTCTGAGGCTGTGGGATCCTTGCACCATAATGATAATAGAGCTGTTGTAATATATAAGGCAACAGTTTTTTGAGGTTGGAAAAGCCCTCCCAGACCATGGAGTCCAACTGTGCCCATCCCCACCTTGTCCCCAGCCCAGAGCTCTGAGTGCCACCTGCAGTGGTTCCTTGGGCACTCCAAACCTGCCTGGGCAGCCCCTGCCAATATTAACAACCCTTTCCATGGGGAAATTCCTGCTGGTGTCCACCCTGGCCTAGCCTGAGGCTGTTCCCTCTCCTCCTGTCCTTGGGATAAGATCCCAAATCGTCCCCTCCTGTCAGGGAGTTGTGCAGAGCCACAAGGTCCCCCCTGATCCCCCTTTTCTCCAGGCTGAGCTCCCTCAGCCCCTCCTGGTGTTCCAGACCCTTCCCAGCTCCTTTTCTTTCTCCAACCCCTCCATGTCCTTCCCTGAAGGGATTCCACAGAGCTTTGGCAGACAATGGTGAGGCTGCAAACTCCAGCAACCTCCTCGGATTTCAGGCAGGCATTTCCCTCCTGTCTGCGGCTGGAATTTGAGGGGTTTTACCCCCTTTTCCCTGCCCTGCTCCTGGTCTGACATTCCCTGCCAGATGTTTTAGTTGAGCTGTGGCTGTTCATCACCAGGGGTTGGTGGTTTGGTTTTCCCAAAAATCTCAAATTTGGTTTTCCCAAAAATCTCAAATTTGGTTTTCCCAAAAATCTCAAATTTGGTTTTTCCCAAAAATCTCAAATTTGGTTTTTCCCAAAAATCTCAAACAGGAAAACCAAAACCATTATGCAAGGAAAGCATACTAGGGGTAGCAGCACAAGAAGTAGGACCTAAAATAACCTAAAAAAATTAGGAAAACAGGATTGTGAGCATTGAGGAGCAGCTTTAGAGCCAGAACTGAGCATGGGGGAGCTCTTTGTGTGTCAAACTCAAGCTGTCCTGCTGTCTCCATGGGGGAGGGATGTCTGTCTGTGTTCCACCAGGCTGGGAGTGCATCTGACACGATGCTGCTGTTTTGTCAATAATCTTGGGAAGTTTGGAAATAGCTGCTTCAAAGTGCTCCAGTGATACATTGCTCTGCAATCTGTCCCTGCCGCCGCCAGCACTTCTAAGTAACCAATTTCCCACGTGTTTAACCTTTTAGGGCTTCTCTTCCCCAGGAATTACTCTGCAACTCCCACTGAAAAGAAGGGAAAAAAAAATGGAGAAAATTGCTATTTGCCCTTCACAGAGGTGGTTCATTTTCCAGGTGGTTTTTTTGGGGTGTTTCTAGCTTTTAAAAATGGGTTGAAAGCACTGAAGTTGGGATGTTCTTCCCATGTCTGACTGACAGCTGAGCATGTGATCCCTCAATTTTTGGGATTTGGAATTGGGAATTGGGATGCAGGAGGTGTGGAAGCATGATCCAGGAAAGGCTCAAACCCCTGGAGATGTCCCTGGATTTTTATTTCTGTGGCTCTGTCTCTGCATTTCCCCTCTGTGAAAAGGGGATGGTCCCTGTGGAGAGTGCTGAGATAAGCTGGAGGAAGCCTTAAATGTAATCTAAAAATAGATTAATTGGAAAATTGCAAGCAAAAGGCAGCGTCTTGCTCAGACAAAACTCCTGGTGGCTTCAAAGGCAGATTAAAGACTTTGCCTGTGTCAGGACTTGGTATTTGGCCCAAGAAGGAGACAAATGGAAGAGGGTGAGAATGTTTGCCAGCAGAAGAGAGAAGGGAGAGATAAGGTAACAGATGAAACACTCAAAGTCAGCATTTAAGGACATTGCTGCCTGTGGAGATAATTTTATCAACTCCAGAGACAACAGTTTTTTGGGTTTTTATTTTTTTTTCTATGAAGTAAAATCTGCCCTTTATGAAGCTGTTTAAAATGGCATTTGTTGCAAATTTGATTAGCTGCGGGAGCCTGCTGTGGGACAGCCAGTGCCAATATCTGTGCTGGTGATGAGTTTGTGGATTTTGCACCTCCTGCCCTTCATTTTGGTGCTGTTCTGACTTAGAAATTTGAATCTCTGTGTGATTGGGTGGTGAGACAAAAATAGAGGACAAAAGAATGAGATGCTCTTGGTGTTGTGCTGAACCCTCTTGTTCCTGACAGGGCGGGAAGGAGGTGACTGGAATTGTGGCAAGGAATTGGTTTCTGGTTTGGTGAGGCCCAAGTGATCTCTGCCTCCTCAGCCCTTCCCTCGAATCACGTTTTGCTGTGAAAATGCTTTGTCCCATCCTAAAATCAGAAATCAGTGTTATATAATGAGCTGCTGGCTGCTCAGAGTGGAAAGAGAAAAGGGGGGGGGTGGGTGAGAATAGAAGTCAGAGATGTGACTCAATATTGATTTCCACTTGTTTTTGTTGAAATGCTAAAAATGCCAAGATGAAATATTTGGACTTTTCCTCGTGCTCCTTTCCTTTTTTCTTTAATTTTTTAATTTTTTTTTCTTTTTTTCTTGCAAGGAGCTCTCTGCCCAGTTGGATTCCAAACCCTGAATAATTCATAGTCTGTAAATATCTCCCTCCTCCTCGGGTAAATAGAGCTTTTGTCGAGCTCAGTGGTGCTGCTGGGGGCAGCAGAGGTGCTCAGGGTGTTTTTTGTGTCTCCCTGCAGAGTTATGTCATGCCCAGACCACCGCAGGGCTCCATGAGGATTTATGGAAGATGCTCCGTGTCTTGGCGCCTCTGGTGCTCCTTCTGCTGTGGCTGATGAGGATCTGGGCCAGCCCCCATTCCCTGAGGATTGGTGAGTGCTCCCCTGGCTTTGGGTTCATTATTCTTATTGTTATTGGGAGTTTTGCAAGAGTCAAATCTTAAATTGGCGTCTCAAAATGAGAATATTTGACTGCAATAAGGTCGGCAACACATCAATATTTTTAGACTTACACCTATGTTCACAGAAACAAGAGCAAAACCAGATGTACAATTTATTGTATTTGTTATTAGGAGTTTGCAAGAGTCAAATCTTAAAAGAAGAATATTTGACTGTAGTAAGGTTGGCAACACATAAGTAGTTTTATACCTACACCTGTGTCCACACAAACAAACTGTATTTGTTATTAGGAGTTTGCAGGAGTCAAATCTTATGAAACTTAATTAAAAGAAGAGTATTTGACTGTAGGAAAGTTGGTAAGACATCAATGTTTTTATACTTACACCGATGTTGACACAAATAAGAGCAAAACTAGATGTACAATTTACTGTATTTGTTATTAGGAGTTTGCAAGAGTCAAATCTTAAAAGACAGTCTTAAAAGAAGAATATTTGATTGTAGTAAGGTTGGCAACACAAATATTTTTATACTCATACCTACACCTGTATTCACACAAACAAGAGCAAAACTAGATGTACAATTTACTGTGAAATATTGATATTAATAATAAAAAATCTACAAAGGGTTTGGTAGATTTTAGCAGTCAGATGCTGGAAGTTGTGGAAGTATCACCAAGTTCACAGAAAGAACACTGGCTTGTACCTTAAAACTGGGTGTGTTAGTAGAACTTGACCATTAGAAGAACACAAAACTTGATGTCTTAGCGGAATTTGATCATTCGAAGACGACTTTGGTGTTTTTAATTCATATTCACTGTCCCACCACCAACCCTTAGAATTGTACTTCCGCTGATGAGGATATCAGAGAGAAAAAGACGTGGAGAACTCTGAGATTTTACAGCTTAAAAAATAGCGGGGAAATTACTCAATAGAATGAAAATGTTTTCCCAGTGATGCTCTGGAGGGATTGTTGGAATCCTCCCTGCCTGGTGGGGCTGACACTGAGTGAAAGGTTCTCCTGTATGGTCAGTTGTGACACTGAGCTCCTCCCTGAATTTTGGGAATGTTCTGTCTCCGTTTTGCTCATGAAATTAGTTTGTGGTGAGCTGACACACTTGCTGTGCTCCTCCTCGTGTTTTGGGAATGTTCTCTCCTTCCTTTTGTCAATGAAATTGAGGTTATGGTGAGTGGAGATGCTGAGTTGCTCCTTAAATTTTGGGCGTGTTCTTCAGTTTGTACATGAAATGCAGTTTATGGTGAGCTGACACACTTGCTGAAGCTCCTCCATGAATTTTGGGCATGTTGTCTCCCTCCTTTTGTAAATGAAATGCAGTTTATGGTGAGTTTACACATTGAGCTCCTCCCTGCATTTGGGAATGTTCTCTCCTTCCTCTTGTCAATGAAATCAGTTTATGGTGAGCTGACACTGTTGCTGAAGCTCTTCTTTGCATTTTGGAAATGTTCTCGCTTTCCTTTTGTAAATGAAATTAGTTTATGGTGAGCTGACAATGTTGTTGAAATCCCTCCATGCATTTTGGGCATGTAGTCTCTCCCTTTTGTAAATGA